GATGCAAGAGTCTTTTCCTGTGATGAAGATGCTGTACACCTCTGACTTGCTAACTTTAAATATTCAGCTCAATTCTAAATTGGGTGTGTACCATACCTCCTACATTTCACCAATGTCAAAAAAGTTGATCTGGCACAGTCGAAAGTTGAAAGCACTAGGGCCCAATGAGGCTAGTGCATCCATGGAAGTAGGGTAATCTTGCAACCCTGTGTATTTTAGTATTCAAGTTGGATCATTCATGAAATTGTCAATTGTAAATCTCTTCATCTTAAACCTAACAAAATAACAGTTGTGCTTCCTATTACATTAAAAAGCAACATAGGTTGGTGAGGTGAGTGTTATCTTTTTTTCTACTGAAATTTTTGGGTCAACAATTTTAGGGTGGGAATTTTTTTTTATTAAAAAGCTATTTTGATGGTCTATGGTGTACTCCATCAACTGTTTTTTTTTCCTGCAGATTCATAACTTCAGGATAGGTCTTGTCAAAGATTGTATCTGAGTCAGAGCTTTCTTGGACAATTATACATTTGTGTTGCAATGACATTTCGAAGAGCTCGTGTCCAAAAAGAAAGCTCACACAAAACAATGTACATAGAGCACTGAAAGCTTATGCGATGATGTTTGACACAACTTAGTGTGCCAGTTGTCACGAAAGCCTGTATCAGTGAAAGCGCAAATGGTCTAACCTTATTTCAAACCGTAAATTCACCATGAAATATGTGCTACCGTGAGTTATAGTGAATAGTGTTATTCACTACTTCCACTCACGCAGGAATGGCTATATTGAGTTCCACTGACATATATATGAATAATGATGTTTCATTATTGGCAGCCAAATACAACACAATGAGCAGCCACCATTTTGTAGAAATGAATTTTTAGAAAGTCCCTTGTCTTGAGATAGCTGCTCGAAGGTGCTGAGACGGTATCCACCTGTGGACATAAGCCTTTCTAGTTGAGAAGTCAATGAAGCCACCTCTGGTTTTGGTGTCACGGTTTATAGTCTGCTCAGTTATTTGGTCAGCAGGGATACTGGCAAAGCCATGGTTATCTGGTCTGTACACAGCAAATTCACCATCAAGGAAGGTAGCGTGGACATCTGGATGAGTTGACAGGTTGTGTTATTCATGAAGTACAAAGTTTTACTGGTTTTAATTTATACATAACAACTTAGAAACCTGTCATTAAGTGCGTAGGGTCAATTCCATGATAACTCACCTTACATTTAGAGTTTGTGCTGCTACCCCGGCGCCAAGTGGTTAATTCTAGAACCACATAATCACCTTTCCTTTGTAATTCACGTTTGTGGAAGGATGATTTATAATGGGTAGTAAAATGGGGAATTTCATACAGAATCGACCAATCCTGCAGAGCAATTGAGTGATATTGCAAAATGAGCCAACTGTGCAAAACATAAGCACCTTCAACGATGTAGTGTTGGTGACCTGCACTGTTGCACACTTATACAACAGTGCAATGTTTACACATAAATTAACACGATTTGAAAATTGGTTGCATTTGCATTTGACAGATACCATCATCTAAAACCAAGTCTACATGTATATGTAAAGCTGAAGCCACAGTCATGGTGCTGGTTACTTCCTAAATAATAAGGCACTATTACAGAGTTTTAAGTCAGTGTTCAGGAAGTAGGTTTATATCAAGATAATGCAGGAATAAAACAGGCCTTAGTTTCATAAATCTTTAACAGACTTCAAATTGATAGCAAAAGTGTAACTGAATTACAGAATAAAGTGCCACTAATCTTTCAAGTCTACTTTCAAGTAATTAGACCTAGGCCTACCATGTTCCAAATTTTCATTGGTAATGGTTTGACACGCTATTGGATTGTGAATGTGCCCATTTATTTTGCCTAAATCTGAACTTTCTCTATCAAATCTTCCCCCAAAAAGCCCTCCTCACAAAATAATATCTCATTAACACATGTTCAAAATGATTTTTGGACCAAAATTCAGATCTTTTACGTTAGATCCTAAACAATTTGAGCTGCATACTTTTTGCATGGCCATTGAACGGAAGACTGGTTCCCGTCCCAGTCCTCTGAACTTATTTAATGGTGACGGCTACCAATCCAGTGACATACAATGCATGCATTGCTTCATTAGCAACCTCGACTCCATGGGCTGTACGTCTCATCCCTTCACAGGGAACCATGATGGCGCGCCAAGATTGTACCCATGGAAATGAGGTTGCGTTATTGGACTAGTTGCTGTCCTTATTAAATATATGTGCGGAGGACTGGGACGGGACAAAAGAGCCAGTCTTCCATGGCAACAGACATGCACCACAGTACATGGCCCAAAAGTGCAAATCGTTTGTTAAAGAAAGGCAGGATCAGAAGTGAAAGGTCTCAATTTTGCCAAAACCAGCTTGTACATGGTCTAAAAACCATCATGATTGTATGTTAGTGTGGTATTATTTAGTGTGAATGGCTTGGGGAATATTTTATTTACAAGGTCCACTTTTAGGCAAAATAAATGTGGACATTCAGAATCCCATAGCATTTCAAACCAATGAAAATATGGTACTATGAGACATGCGAATGGAGTGGAGTGTGACTCACAGTTCTGGGAGTATGTTGTTAACCACTTAAGAATACACATAGGGCCCATATGAAGTTGTGTACATGGTGTAGGGGTGAGCAACGTACACTCAGTCAAAGCCATCAAAGTAATCAATTTGAGTCAAATTCAACTCAGTTAATCCAACTAAAAATGGCCTATTCAAACCAAATTGATTTTTGAATTGGATGTAATTGGAATGAATTGGGTCTAAGTGGCAATTAATTGGTTTCAGTTGGTATGCTTTCTCTCTGTTTGTTTTCGTCTATCAATTAGAAATTTCAATTGGGATGCAACTGGTTCCAATTGGTTTGCTTTCAGCTTGTTTCCCCATCAAGTGTTTTTTTCAAATGGGACTGAATTGGTATTGAAATGATTTCATTTGGTTCTTCAGTTGGTTACAATTTGATTAAATAGGCATTCAAATGGTCCAACTGAGAAAAGGTCCGAATTGACCATTCAAACCAATTGAACCCAATTGGATTCCAATTGATTCCAAGCAAAAGTAATTGGTTATTGAATTGGTATGTGAATTGGATCCAATTGGTATGTGAATTGGATCTAATGGGTGAGTGAATTGGTCTCAATAGGTAAATGAATTGGTTATTTTCAGTGGGGAAGACTCACCCGCAGACACATCTCCTCTCCTTTGCTTGTTTCCTGTTTGCTTTAGTTTATTCACTTTGCAAAAATGTTGGTAGCAACACCTGTGATAACCGGCTTCGCTAGACAAAGGCCAACAGGGGGTACAGGCGGCAGTGCCAGTGGATGGAATGTTACCACTGAAGTCTAGGCCGAACTTCTGGGTTAACTTTTCTGTGATTTTAGCCCCTCTAGAACCTGATAGTTTTGCCCAATAAGAGCTACAGCAGAGAACTTTTTCCAAACTCGTATCAGTGAACTCATCTTTCCTGTTTTGTCTTTAAGGGCGTGTATGCAAGACGTTTTTTATCAAATGATACATTGGACACAATACAGCAATCCATTGTGAACGCTGTGTTTGATTGTATTTACCATTGCCATTCGTGAAGTATGTGAAAGGGGCTGACCATCACATGATTTAATTGGCTGATAACCAACTAAACGATGATGTCATCATTTTTCCCGTAACTTTCTGATCATGAAACGGTTTCAGTTTTTCAAATTTAACCCTAACCCCCTGGGTTGTATGTAAAATTATATTGAAATCTGAGGATTTGGGACTGTTACGGTTAATAATCAAACATGCAGGAGTTGTGCCTAGAACACTATCTTTTGCCATTTTTATATGTTTTAGTGACATTCGGTCAACATTTTGTTTGGTGCAAATCC